CGGCCTGCGACTCCGTGGATACGGATATGTATTCCGATCCTGACCTGGGGTTTGCGTGCTTCGTGTGAGGTGAGCTGCAGGCCGTTGGGGCCTGCTTGGAAATCTCGTGGGCACCCTGGCCAAAGGACACTTCTAGCAGAATCCCGCCGATGTTCACTGGTCATCCAGTGCCAAGCTTGGCTGGCTCAGCTGAACAGTCGCAGTTTACAGCTGAGACGTTGGAATGAGGACCGTTTTTGGTTAAGCAGGGGCACTGTTAACAGGCCGTTCCCTAGGTTTACGTCGGGGAACCTTTTTGTGGCCTAGACTCGCCGTGGCCAGGAAGGCTTGTGCGTTCCCTGTTATGGTTTCCTTTCATGGTGTAAGGTTCGATAATAGGGCGCAAACGCATACGTGATCGGATGTTCGCGCGGATTCTTTGGCTCGCCGCCGGACCCCCCTGGGTGGCGCCTCGCCTTTTCTCCTCCTTCCTCCTCCCTCTTCCCTCCCGCAACACCTTCTTTCCTCCTTCCTCCTGCTTTTCTCTTTCTCAACGCCGCCCCTTCCTCATGCGATTCTTATTGCATTCCCCCAGGAGACATTAATGTTCGTCGGCCGGCCTGGGTTGGGTGTCCATCCAAGGGTATCGCACCCGCTCAGCACGGAGCGTTCTCTCAGCACGGAGCGTTCTCTTAGCACTGGCGAGGTCCCTCAAGGCCCCACGAGGAAGACGAAGAGCAGGAAGGGAGGGAGGGAACAAGAGGCGGGAAGTCGGCGGAGGGTGTGCAGGAGACTGATGATGATGGTGATGACGATGAGGACGAGGAGAGGAGCAGGAGGAGGAGAAGGATGGGGAGGAGGAGGAGGACGATTGGGGAGGAGGAGGAGCAGAGGGAGAAGACAAATGACGAGAACGAAGAGGAGGAGGAGGAGGGTGAGGACAAACAGAAGCCGGATGGGAGCATCAAACAGAGCCGGGATGAACATCTCAAAGACGCCGAGGGCCAGGACGAAGATACACAGCCAGAAAGAACACGGCAATAAGAGACACCATGCGCAGCGGAAGAAACAAACATCATGATGGTGACACCGCGGTAAGGCTACCAACAAGCGTCACGACGACGTTCCAGAAAGTGTTTGTGATCAAATTTGTCACTACCCCCGCGAGGGGCGTGTAGTAGCAGTAGTAGCAGTAGTAGTAGTAGTAGCAGTAGCAGTAGTCGTCGTAGTCGTAGTAGTCGTAGCCGTAGTAGTAGTAATAATAATAATAGTAGTAGTAGGGGCCGTCGTAGTAGAAGTAGTCGTAGTAGCAGCAGTACTAGTCGTAGTCGTAGTAGAGGTAGTAGTAGTAGTAGTAGTAGTAGTAGTAGTAGTAGTAGTAGTAGTAGTCGTAATAGTAGTAGTAGTAGTAGTAGTAGTAGTAGTAGTAGTAGTAGTAGTAGTAGTAGGAGTAGGAGTAGGAGTAGGAGTAGTAGTAGCAGTGGTAGTAGTAGTAAATGTAGTAGTAGTAGTAGTAGTAGTCGTAGTAGTAGCAGTAGTAGTAGTAGTAGTAGTAATAGTAGTAGTAGTAAACGTAGTAGTAGTAGTAGTAGTAGTACTCGCCGTAGTAGTAGTTGTCGTAGTAGTAGTCGTAATAGTAGTAGTAGTGGTGGTAGTAGTGGTAGTAGTGGTAATAGTGGTAGTAGTGGTACTGCTCCTCCTTCAACTACTACTACTACTACTACTGTTATATTTACTTCCACGACTACGACTACTACTACTACTACTACTTCGACTACTATTGGCACTACTCCTACTACTACTAAAGCTACTACTATTACTACTAAAACTACTACTACTACTACTACTACTACTACGACGACTACTACTACTACTACTACTACTACTACTACGACGGCTACGACTACTACTACGACCACGACCTCTATTACGACTACTACTACTACTACTACTACTACTACTACTGCTGCTACTACTACTACTACTACGACTACTACCACTACTGCTACTATTGCTACTACTCCTACTACTACTACTACTACTATTACTACTATTACTACTACCACTGCTACTACTGCTAGTGGTAGCAGAAGTATGGAATTCTGGTAGTAGTACTAGCAGCAGCAGTAGTAGTAGTAGTCGCCGCAGAAGTAGTAGTAGCAGTAGTAGTGGTAGTGGAAGAAATCGTAGTCGTAGTAGCAGTAGCAGTAGCTTCAGAAGTCGAAGAGGGAGTAGAACTAGTAGTAGTAGTAGTAGTAGTAGTAGTAGTAGTAGTAGTTGTCGTCGTCGTAGTAGTAGTAGTAGCAGTGGTAGTAGGAGTAGTAGTAGTAGTAGCAGTCGTCGTAGTCGTAGTCGTAGTCGTAGTAGTAGTAGTAGTAGTAGTAGTAGTAGTAGTAGTAGTAGAAGTAGTAGTAGTAGTAGAAGTAGTAGTAGTAGTAGTAGTAGTAGTAGTAGTAGCCGTCATCGCCGTAGTCGTCGTCGTAGTCGTAGTTCTTAGTCGCACTCGTCGTAGTAGTCGTAGTAATAGTGGTCGTCGTCGTCTTACAAGTAGTAAGTGTAGTAGTAGCAGTAGTAGTAGTAGTCGTAGTGGTAATAGCACTAGTCGTTGTTGTAGTCGTAGTGGTAAAAGTAGGTGTAGTAGTAGTAGTAGTAGTAGTAGTAGTAGTTGTTGTTGTTGTAGCAGTAGTAGTTGTAGTTGTAGTAGTAGTAGTAGTAGTAGTAGTAGTAGTAGTAGTAGTAGTGGTAGTATTTGTAGTAGTAGTAGTAGTTGTTGTTGTTGTAGTAGTAGTAGTAGTAGTAGATGTAGTCGTAACAGTAGTAGTAGTAGTAGTAGCAGTAGTAGTAGTAGTAGTAGTAGTAGTAGTACGAGTCGTAATCGTGATAGCAGTAGTAGTACAAGTAGTAGTAAACGTACGAGTAGTTGTAGTCGACGTCGTCGTAGTAGTGGTAGTACCACTCGTGGTTACAATAGTCGTGGTACTAGTGGTCGTCGTAGCCGTAGTAGTAGCAACAGTAGTCGTAGTTGCTGTCGTCGTCGTCGTTGTAGTCGTGGTAATATGACTTGTAGTAGTCGTCGTTGTCGTAGTAGTAGTTGCTTAGATACCTTCTTGAGAAGTATGTTTTCCTGTCCGCACCTGGTTATAAATACTTTAAAGTAGTATTCGTCGCACCCCTCCTACCTCCTACTCCTCCTCTTCTTCTTCCTCTTCTTCCTCCCCATCTCCTCCTCAGGGTGCCATGGAAACGCTTCCGAGCGGTGGATGCGTTATCGTCTCACGAGAAGGGAGGATATGCATCGCTTCTTGTGATTGTTTGATCAACCTTCTGGGATACAAAACGGTAGTTGTGTCATTGTCTCCTTCTCCTTCCCTCCCTTCCCAGAGGCATTCTGTAGTGCAGTAGTACATGCAACTGGCTGCCTTAAGCTTTTGCCGCGCGGGCCTGCGTCTCCGACGAAGGGAGGTTTTGTTGAAGGAGGTAATGCCCACCCCTGATCAAGACCCCCACCGCACATATCGAAACCGGCCGACAGTTGTTCGTCATGGTTTTGCTCGCGACTCGAAGAGGGCGTGCTCCCCCTCCCCCGAGAGGGAAAAGTGAGAATCTTGCGCTGTCATTGGGAGCCCATCAGCGTGTTACCTGTATCGCAGTGTGACTATCCGAAAGCATGGCGTCCTTCACTGCAACACACTGGTGGGTTCTTATTGAAGGTGACGAACCATCATTTCCTATCAGACAGGCTGGGTCTGCACCCGCCTTGCACACCCTGCGTACCGCGGCCGCCAGGCCCAAAGTGTGCTGGGACTCCTTGGTTATCCCGCCTCGTGTCTTCGACGAATGACGACAGCACACCGCGGTGGCTAGGGCCAAAATGTGCCAGTGCTCCCTGGATCACTATCCTGCCCCACGTTTTTGGGTGGGGATCGATCGATGTAGTATCATCGATATTGATTTTGCTCGCGACGAGAAACAGGTAAGGGCCCTCTTTCTCGGAGGGGACATCAGCCATCAACGACACGCCTTCCGTTGCGACCCCATCGGCGCGTTGCCCCGTAGTTCTTCATGAAAGCCGGTGCTTCCTCACCAGTAGCACGCTTGACGGGTTCCCCGCAGCGACGTTTCTGTGATGCTGCTTTCGCTCCCCCCCTCCCTCGTTCCCCCCCCTTCCCCCGTCCATCCCCCTCCCTCGCCCCCCATCCCTCCCTACTCTCGTCCCCCCCCCTCTCCCTCCCTCGTGCCCCCCTCCCTCCTCGCCCCCCCCCCCTCGCCCCGCCGCCGCCGCCATGCCGGACGGCGGGGCGCCGCCGCCGCCCGGCCCGGCCGAGCCCGCGGCGCCCGCGGAGGCCCCCACCGCGCCGCTCCCCGACGAGGCCCCTCTGGGGGGGGGCTCGGAGGCCTGCCGGGCCCCGCGGGGGAGGCCTTTTGGAGGTGCCGTGGGGGGCCTTCGGAGGCCTTCCCGAGGCCCTCGAGGAGCTTTCCGCTGCCCGGCCCTCCACTGCCCTCGGCTGCCCTGGGAGGCCTTTTTCGAATGGAGGGGATCGACTGCAGAAGTGATTCACCCCGACATGATGTTCCGTCGCATCTACGAGAAAGCAGACGCAGAGTGCTCTGTAGACTTACGGGGACTTTCTATGTTTTTCTCTAGATTCGACTGACTCGTCAATTTTGGGGCAAGTCAATGTTGTAGTCGGTCCCCTACTCGACTCTTCGGAATAGGGGTGGGGTGAAAAAACAGGACGGGGGGGCACAGTCGGAGGGTCGGAATGGACCCCTCGGGTGATCATGCCGGCAGCTGTGATGAGTTTTGCCTTTTGGGCCTTGTGGGGGGAAACCTCTGCCCTGGGAAGACGGAGCAGGGAGGATGAGAAGAAGGAGGGAGGAAGCGGGGGGGATGATGCGGAGCGGAGGGAGGAGTGGGAGTGGAGGGAGGAGGAGGAGGCAACGGCGGAGGGAGCGGAGGGCGGAGGAGGAGACGAGGGGGGGGAGGAGGAGGGATGGAGGTGCAGGGGCGGCAGCGGCAG